CTTGTATCTAGGATAGGTGATCCCACACTACGTCTTTACTTTAGGCTTATTATACCAACACTCACTACACTTATAAGGTTTCATAGCACACACACCCTCACAGCCCCTTTGCACCCTTGTCACTAAAATTGTAATGGGCAGACAGTTATCGAACTATTCTATCTGGATAAATGCATTTTGGCTTTTATGACTCCTATTTTTGAGAAATGAAGCATGACTTGACACACATTGGCTTTTATATAGGTCAGATCCCTGCTTCCACATGTCTTCATATCACATAATTCTAGTGAAGAATATTTAAATACATACATGGGAAAAGTGTAATTTTATCTATGAATGACATACTTCATTAGCTTGTAAAAGATAATAACTTATCACCTTGTATGTTTGTTTTTACAAGGTAACATGCTGTGGTCTTGGGGTTGGAATGAACATAACATGTGTGGCTTTGAAGAAGAAGTTAACATTCACCGACCAACTCCAATTTCTTCTTTGAAAAATAAGGAAATACTATTGGCAGGATGTGGCGCAGGTCATAGTTTTGCCTTTGTAAATATGTTAAAGGAAGATCCTTAAAATGTGTATTATGTATTTTGTAAGTAAATATTAGGTACAGATTTTCTGTTATTTAAACTAATGGGAGTTTAGAATATTAAAAAGAAAATGTTTGTATTTCATCCTTATCATAGAACCTGCATTTTTTAAATTTCAGTGTTAGTGCTTGAAAGTACAATAGCAACAGATTTGAAAAACTATATTGTGAAAAACAAATGTGTGTATATATATAAAGAGGAGGACTTTCATTACTACTAGAACCACAGCCAGTTTCAGTATTACTAGTATGTGCCATTTGCCCTACAAGCTGATTTTAACACAAGAAGTAACTAGAGAATAACACAATATCAAGGATTTTCAACAAGTTATCACATTATCTCTGGGTGATTAATCAACATAATTGAAATGAGTGTTTCTGATTATTACTATATATTCAGCTATTCCAAATTTAATGTGAGAACAATTGATTAATGAGCCCAATAATTAATCAATTACAAATTTTTCTAATTGCCCAGCTCTGACATCAACATTATCTAAGACTACAATTACTCTATTATATTTCAGATAACAGAATTAAGAGAAAGTGAGGTAATCTTAAACATTACTTATGGTTAAGATTTCTTTTCCAAGAACTCATTGTAAGGAACCTCAAAGTGGCTATTTGAAAGTTTTATTAAATGATTCAGTGTGTGTGTGTGTGTAGGGATTAAGCTAAAAAGTTTGTGATGTATTATTCATGGGAAGCTTCTTTTAAACATATGCTTCTACACCACAGTGACCACAAAGTTAGAGCATTACTATGTTTTTGAGAGAGGGGGTGTGTGTGTGTGGTTGAGACTTCGAAAGGGCTTACATTATTTCTGTCATCCTTCCATGTGGTTATCAGCTAGGTAAAATAAGCCCAAAACACTAAAAATCTAATATTCTCAAACTTACCTTTTAAAAAGGAAGAAAAGGTTTAATGTATTGCATCATCTCTCAGACCATCTTTAATCGAACTGACCTTTGTGGCTTTCAACGTGGAATATTATATGGTCTTCTGAAGGACAGACCTATACTCTCTGCTGTCTTCATGCCCACACACCCTCTAGCCATATTTATTTCTCATATTACAACTACATACCTCTAACAAAGTTACTGTGAACAACTCATTCTATTTAACTACCTTCTAAAAAAATTACTGTATGGCCAGTTTTGACATTACTTCTTTAATTTACCACCATTCCAAGTTAAAGGAGATTGTCGATTTCTGCCTCAAAAACCTCTTTTAAAATAACACATTTAGTAAATTTGTTCAATTTTCAACAGCTTGAGCAACTTCTTTAGCTTTATTTCAAAAGGTAAGTTATTTGACCAAATAGATTGCATTGCCCTGGGATCCCATCTTCAGTGGACATTAGCCTTTTTTAATTATAAGTACTCATGGCTGGACAATTGTCCTCACAGTTCACTATGGAAGATATGTAGACAATACTGTCTTGTTCCTATGATCATATGTCTATAACATTTAAACTTGCATAACCCCAACATAAAATGTACTGAGAACTGCTTTATTCTGCACTTTTAGATATTTCAGTGACACATAATTATAATGGTTTTTCAAACTCCATGTTTCACAATAACCTGTACACATGCTTTAATAGCTTTATAACCTCTAGCTATAAATGAAACTTTATCACTTGTTTATTGACTAAAGCCTATAATACTTGTTCTTCCTCATCTCTCTCCACAGCGAAATAAAATTCATACAAAATTCTTTAAGACTAAACAGACACCCTAAACAATTTCTTTAACCAATCACTCGTAACTTTTTACACAAGAAAATTAACCCCACAACCAAACTTACTGCTGTCCTAATATGCCCAGTATGCATAAGCCTTCTTTAATTAGGGAAACAGAGCTTTGTTCTAAAAAATCAGTTCACCAAACTTGTACACAAGAACTACACCTAAATTCAACTTTGTATTTTCTTTAAACCTTCGTACCAAATTTAAGAATTATTTTTTCACTTTAAAGATGGGATCCAAATTTACTTCCTTCTTGAATTGTTTGCTCATATTTGTGGAAGTTGCAAGGTTATTTATACCTGCAAAACTAAACACCACATAACTGTAAATATCCATGAACACGTGCAAATTTCACTCGGAACTGACCAAACATTATCTCCATCTACCTCAGATATTCACACATACTGTCAAACCACTAATCATGAAATTTATTTATCCAACTTTCAGATTCAAACTACAGGATATTCAAGCATAGAATTATGTATAAAAGGATCTCCAAATTAAACAGAATCTTCCAAATCTGTGGTAATAAGCTTGTTCTAGTTAACTTGTGGATAACAAAGAAAACTTCTACAAGTTAAACACAGTAACAAATGTACATTATTTCAAAATGTTGTACATTTATTATTGTATTAAAGTTTTCTTTTTTATCCCCGCAGTCTATCTCTAAACCTTATTAGTTCACTAAATGTGTTTTTCATCATTTCTGTAGTATTATTGAAATACGCATAGTTAAAGCAAATCAGGAAATTAACTTACTCTTAAGTATATTAATTCAAAGAGGACCTTTAAGGGTGAAGTAATCTTTAAAGAAGATTGACCTAGACAGGCTAGATGTTGCAAGAAAAAAGCAACATATCCCCAGAGAATGGTACAACAAGGCAACACAAATGTAAGTTTTGGCTGGATAGGAATAATCTTAACCTTTTAACATTGGATAAGGTCAAAGTGCTCTTGTCACAATCTTGTATATAGTTAGATTCAAAAGTTAATTAAACAATTTTATTACCAAATAAATTGGCATCAAAACATAGTATGCAACTTAAATTCTCAATCTTTACATCTTTGAAATGTCTTCACTTTGAATCAATCATTTTAGATCTTATTTCTACCCCTCTGTGATCTGAGTTTGACACAAATTACATACTTATAGTATATTCATGGTGTCAGAAAAACATGTAGGTGCAAAAAGTATTGATACAAGATGATAAAAACCCTATAACCCAAGCACTTTCAAAAGGTGGGCCTTTATTCTAAAGGGGCAAACCTATAGATAGATATTTCTAAGCCATATTGTAGACGTATAGCTTCCAATTTTCTTGATTTATTAAGATGTTTGCAAAACAGTCAAACCAACACACCACTCCCCATCACATCCTATCTTTAAAAAAATGTTATACAAACGTTGAACAGTGCTTGGACGTCTCCAGTGGTAATAAATGTTGGAGAGTGCTTGGATGTCTCCAGTGGTAATAAATGTTGGAGAGTGCTTTGATGTCTCTAGTGGTGTTAAATGTTGGAGAGTGCTTGGATGTTTCCAGTGGTGATAAATGTTGGGGAGTGCTTGGATGTCTCCAGTGGTGATAAATGTTGGGGAGTGCTTGGACGTCTCCAGTGGTGATAAATGTTGTAGAGTGCTTGGATGTCTCCAGTGGTAATAAATGTTGGAGAGTGCTTGGATGTCTCCAGTGGTGATAAACGTTGGAGAGCGCTTGGATGTCTCTATTGGTGTTAAATGTTGGGGAGTGCTTGGATGTCTCCATTGGCAGTAAATGTTGGAGAGTGCTTGGACGTCTCCAGTGGTGATAAACATTAGAAGAGTGCTTGGATGTCTTCATTGGTGATAAACGTTGAAGAGTGCTTGGACGTCTCCTGTGGTGATAAACATTAAAAGAGTGCTTGGACGTCTCCATTGGTGATAAATGTTGGAGAGTGCTTGGATGTCTCCAGTGGTGATAAACATTAGAAGAGTGCTTGGATGTCTCCTGTGGTGATAAATGTTGGGGAGTGATTGGACATCTCCAGTGGTGATTTTCAAAAAAGAAAGAAGGTTTGCCAAGGCTATTGTGGCTTCTGTTGATGCTGGATGTATTATAAGGTTCCTGCTGGTTTAACATCTTGGATCTAGATGAGCTAAATGATGACAGCAGAGAAAAAACTGCTTTTATCATGAGATGATCTGTAGGAATTCTGTATCATGTCATTTGGTCAGTGTAACACCCCAGCTATTTTTGAGGTGCTGATGCAACTTCACTCAACGGACTGCAATGGGAGAGATAGATACCTATTCTATGTCAACAATTTTTTAGTGTTTCGTTGCACTTTAGAGGAAGTTTCTAAAAACCTGAGGACGGAATTCCAGAGCTTGAGAAAGGCAGGCCTGAAACTGAAATCTAGGAATTATCCACTCATGTGAATGGACATGGTATTCTTTGGCCACATAATCAGGAGTAATGGAGTCTTGATAGACCTGGCTAAGATAGATGCAATGAAAAATTGGCCCCAACCTACAGCAACACTAGAGGTCTATAGTTTTCTTTGTTTTGCATCATATTATCAGTGATTCATAGCCAATTTTTCAACAGTAGAAGCACCACTGTCTGCTCTCATGAAAGTAGAGGCACACTTTAATTGGAGTGTGACCAAGCTTGCTTTAGTGGGTTTAATAGACCTAGTTTATCCTCAGCAGGACTGGTAATTTCTTCTGGACACAGATGTTTGAGACAGAACAGTACTGTTGCAGTTGCAAATGGAGTGAAACATGATTGTGTATGCCAGCCGTATACTAACAGCCACCAAATGGAGATACTGCATAACACCAAAGGAATGGATTGCTGGGGGTTGTCTTTGTAAAACACTTCTGCCACTACGTGTATGGTAGGAAATTTATCATTCAGGTAGACCATGCTCCACTGAACTGGTTAATATACTTTAAAAATCTAGAGGGGCTGATAACACATTGAATAACAATGTTACAAGAATATGAATTTGTCATAGTTCATCACTCAGGTCCGTAACAAGGAAACTCAGATGTACTATCTTGCTACATGGTGAAACCCTCTCAATTTGTGGACTGTCCTGATCCTGGACAGAGATTTAGAGTTAAAACCATACTATATCAGCCATAGCAACAATGAGCCATAAAGTACATTCCTCCAGTGAAGGGTGGATTCCAAAGTTAACACTTTAAAAGCTCTTGGATAAGCAGTTGAAGGACCCTGATGAAGTATGGGTGTTCCTTGTACTTCTGCAAGGACAAGTTCACCTAGTACTAGTGGACAAGCATAGCAAGGATGCAACTAACCTTTGGTGCATGTATGGACAATTACAAGTTTAAGAAAGTGTGCTGTACCATTGTTATCAGCCCAAGAGGCAAAGTGCTGTGCAGCTAGTGGTTATCAGAACTGTGACAAGAGATACTCCAGACATTACAAAACACTTGGACCATAGGGTACCAAGGTGTTACACACTTGTGATAACATGTGATGGCATTTCTTCTGGCCACGAGTTAGTCAGGATGTTTGGCAGTGATGTGTATACTTGTACCCAAAGGAAGAACCAGCTGAAAGAGAGTAAACTCCAAAAGAGAATTGTTGGTTCTCTTCTACAGAAGATAGCCATGAACATCACTGGTTCACTCCAATCACTACATACATACTTGTGGACATCAATTACTTCATGAAGTGGGCCAAAACATATCCTTTGACTGACATGCTGGTGCAGATGCATTAGCTGAGAACCGGATGTCATTGTTTGAAGCACCAGAGAAGATCTACATGGATCAGGATGCTAACTTTAACAACCAAGTGTTTACCAAGTTTTGGAAGGTGTTAGAGGTGGTAAAGATCACCCCCTCCGTCTGAAAAACAGGCAGTGCAAACTAGCAATTGGAAGCCTGCAAAGTTTCTTGAACCCATCAGAATAGACTAGGATTAATACTTGTCATATGCAATAATGGTATAAAGAGCAATAGATCAAGGATAAACGAACAGGCTGTTCACCGAATCTGCTCATGTTTGGACAGGAATTATTATTCCCTATGGTTATAATGTATGGTACTTCACCATAAGGAAAAGTGCCCCCAAGAGTATATAGAGAGATTGTGATCAGTGGTGGTCAACATGCGACTTCACATAACAGCAATTAGAGGAGGCAATCCAGTGGCAGAAAGAGTGCTATGACCAGATGATGAAGGAATAGATGTTGCCAGTCCCGTACATTGGTGAAAACGCCAAAGCTGTCCTTGCATTCAGTATAGATAGGATTGGTTGGTTGACAACAGCTAGGAAGACCATATGGTTGTGCACCTGATGATTGAAAGGAATGTGCATTCCTTACTCTAAGCTATAGAGTAGGAAGATGTGACAGAATGTGTGGATTACATTTGATCGCCCCTAATCGATGTCTTACAGCTACAACAGTCAAGTAGTTAGAGGGCTACCGACTGAAATGTCATCACAAACACTTGTTTTCCGACCATAGAATTAATTTTTTTGATGCGGAACATAGTCCGACATTTCGAAGAAATTGTTTCAAAAATCTAGAGGTGTGGTAAAGGCTCTGTAGAGTGTATCACTTGGGACTTGCTGTTTTTTTTTTATCATTTTTTGTTAGGGAATATGCCGGATCTAATCAACAAGACAAGCCAGCCTTCTCTGAATGTGTTGGAGTACAGTAATGATAGCAAGAATTTTTATCTCGATAAATAGACTTGTTCAAATGGTTTTGGTTTTTACGAAACTTATGAGTAATTATTTATTTTGTGAAGCATGTAATACAAATGAGGTTGGTTTGACGGCCCGTAGATGACACTACCATTGCTGCCAGGTGTAGCTTCAGCAGATAACACATATGTTACAGAAGTTGACCATGCTATGATAGTGGCAAGCTATGTAACCTAATAGAGTACTTACAAAAATGTAATGGTGGTGTACGTATATATCAGTGAATGTAAACAAATGATAGCACGCGCGTCGTGAACATCACAAGAGGTCCTTCATAAGATATTTAAGTGAATCAAAACAAATGAGGCAACCACACAGAGATATAGGAATAAAAGATAATGACGAAAGATGAGAGAAATAAATAAGAAATTAGGGGCTCTTCATGGACAAAGAACGTGACCTGGTCATTAAGATTTAATAAACAGGAGATGAACTGTGATTAAATAACCTGGAAGTGGTTGCTGGAAATACATTGTACCTGCCATTTTTTTTTAATGCCGAGAGAATATTTCAATTTCGGCATGGAGACATTTGGCACGTTTGTGAATTTATCGTGTAAAGGACAATGGAGATAGATATACCATGATGGAGAAAGTAAAATGCTGTTTAACTGGAGATTTCGAAAACAAATTTTGACCTATTATTCTGACAGTTTTACTTGGTGTTTCTCTGGAGCATATGTAGGGATATTTTAACTTGCTCAGGTTGACATATCTGTGAGTTGGTGAAATTGTCGTTAAATACATGAAATTATCAAATGATAGCACGAATATCATAACAAGTATATATACACAAGATGTACCCAGTGTTATATTTGGTTGTAATAAGAATATCCTCTGTCAGATAGGTTAGAGTATTTTTAAATAGCCAAGAAGTTTTATCTAGTGATATCTTAACATTGTTCGAGCGATAACTATTGATATTGTTACGTCTCCGCTTGTTAATTGATTTTCCGTAAATTCGTTCCGACGAAACTTTAGCGACACAAGTCCTTTCTTAAATAAAACTGGTTTATTCTTTCCGAATACAACTTTACGATACACTCAACTTCAACAGTTGC